TGGTCACAACTACTACGTTTCAGAAGATAGGTAAGTGATATACAGGCAAGGATTTTGTCACAGCCCACTAGAGGTCTGCACCGGCCGGCTGCAGCCGCGGCTGGCTGCAGCCCCACGGCTGTGGGCCGGGGCGGCTGCAAATATCTCCAAGAACACGGCTACGGCTGTGGCCACGGCTGTGAGATTTCCAGCTCAATCTTAAGTACTAAAATATAAAATTTTAAATTCTTAATCTTACATTCTAATAAGCAGTCTAGCCTGTAAAAATCATGCAAAGGATGCCCAGCAACATTGAAAGTGGTGAAGCCTTTGAAAACCTGTAATGGTTTTACCATTTGCTGTAGGGGAGTTTGCACTCTGGTACAGAATACTAATTATAGGTACCAATTGTTCCTTCATCATCAAGAGCTTGACAGTTTCAGAAAATGCAACATGCTGCATTGTCACATCCCTCTCAAATCAATCTCACCTGGTCATTAGGAAAGCACCTTACAGCTATTGAAGACGAGCGTTCAATAATTCTTTCAGGTAATAGAAAAAGAAATCACACCTAGGTAAAGGCAGGTAAAGGCTTCATAAAATATTATCTAAAATAACTCTTAGAAATAATTCTGGATTTTCGGCAAGATTACTAATATAAAACTGGCGCTTTATGTTCTAACTGGTGTGTGAGTGACCGCTAACAGAAAATGCTGATCAACGGAGCCAATGGAATTAGATTATAAGTGAGCATGAACCTTACTTACGGTTAATTCACATGATGGTGAAAACCTTGAACACGTAATTCACATAACGGTGAAAACCCTGAACACAATATTTCTTACACGAGCTGTTGACTTTACAAATAAAATGACGTCTTCTTCTAAAAATGTTTAAATTTGATACCTAACCGTTGTTTGAGAGCAATTTTTTAACTATATAGCATTATTATTTAATAATTATTATTTTTTATGGCTGTTAATAGTGACAAAAAAAAAACAATTTATTGCCACTTCTTTGCTATTGACGTCATTAAAAACTCAAGTAAAATTTTTGATCGAAAGAGGCAATTGTGGCTCGCACGTCCTTGGGGATTTGAGCGAAGATCATTATTTGGAAAAATCAAAATAGATGAATGTTTTTCTTTCTTGGATGCTCACTAGTGTTTTGATGCCTTGCATATCAAATTAGTTTTAGACTTGCTCAGAAGGCTGCTTCAAGCCTGGCATATCACACCCCAGAAAATATGCAAGGTAAGAAAGAAGCAAGAGTTTTGACTAGACAATCACTGTTTGACAGTCCATCAACTTCAGTTTCATTTTCCATACCTAACATTGATAATGAAAAGCATCAGGGTCTGTTCTGTCCCACAACCATGCTTCAGGATTTGGCATTAGATTTATACACTGCTAGTGCTTCTATTCTGGTTCGTTGTTTATGTTTTCTGTTGATGTAGGTACTTACCTACCCATCTTTCTTAACCCCTTGCAAGGGCTTGTGTAGGCATGCGTTGCGCATCAGGCTTCAGGCCTTCGGCCTAAAGCCAGATACACAACCACTTAACCTATGATGCTTCATGAGCTTGAGAATCTATAGCCCATTGCAATGTGCTTTTGGCTATATGTTTCAACTAAAAACAACTTAATATTATATACTATTTGGTTGCATTTCATTGAAAGTATCCACGGCCGGCTGACGGCTGGCTGCCCACAGTTTGCCACGGCTGTGGGCGGCTGTGGCTGTGGAGCCACGGCTGCGGGGCGGCTAGGCCGTGGAAAATTGCAGCCGTGCAGAACTCTACAGCCCACAGAGCACACATTTAATAGTTCCTAGTCTGGCTCCTGGGTCAACTCTGAAACGCCATATATGTCTCAGAACCGCTCCGCCGAACTTACCCATGCAAAGCTATGCGACGCTCCCTCCCGAGCTTTCATTCTTCATGAGTCATCAAGCGGTAAAACCAACACTCTTTTCACGATATACTACATATGTCCGGTTGACCAGCCACGAGTGAATGAGAGAAGGGCTAAGTTGCATGCATGTGTTGTGTATATGACTGTGTGTTTGGCCGGCATGAATACGAGAAAAAGGGAGGGAGAGACAGAGAGAGGGAGAGAGAGAGGGAGAGGGAGAGGGAGAGATAGAGAGAAAGAGAGAGAGAGAGAGAGAGAGAGAGAGAGAGAGAGAGAGAGAGAGAGAGAGAGAGAGAGAGAGAGAGAGAGAGAGAGAGACAGAGAGAGACAGAGACAGAGAGCGAGAAGATTTTACCGTAGGCTCTATGTGTTTCATATTATGTTAAAATCGGTACTTATCACAAACGCAGTGCCATCTAAATATAACTATTCTGTTCCAGGTGCTCGGTGAAATACCACAACGCAAACTACGCTTGTGTGATTTACCAGGACAAAGACCGGCCGTATCCGGACTGTTGTCCGTACTATCGCTGCAATCCGGAGAATTAAGTACCTTGGTAAACGGATAATTGGTGCTCCTCTGGGTGTAACGCTGTGTTGTCCGTAAAACCGCTGCAATTCCGGAGAACTAAACGTGACGGCTAGCTACCTGCTACATCCTCTGGGTGTAACACTGCTGTCCGTACTACCGCTAGCCGCTAGTATCTGGAGAACTGAACGCTGCAGTGGCGGCTAACTAGTCTGCTCCGGGTGTAAACTGTTGTCAGTACAACCGCTGTATTCCGGAGAACTAAACGTGACGGCTAACTAGTGCTCCTCTGGGTGCATAACACTGTTGCACTGATGCAATGACATCAAAGGTAGCACTACGACAGTGAACTGTTCTGCAGCGATTACCTGGTGTCCTGGTTTTATGGATGTGTGGAATGTGTCAGGCGCTAGGGGCTGTGATTCATGTATGGAAGTTTGGAATGTTTACCTGCTCTCCCATGATTCAGGTCACAGTGGGTCAGGTCAGGTCAGGTCAGGTCAGGTCATTTTATGTGTGCATTTGCACATTGTGTGTGTGTGTGTTTAACCCTATTAGTGGCAGGGGGGGTTGTTTTTATCCACCCCTCAGGTTTTTCGGGAATATCTCCGAAACCGCTGAAGCTACGATGCTGAAATTTTCTGACTTTTCCTAAAACTAAATTGGGCACATTCCCTGAAAATTTCAAGTTCATACCTTTACCAGGGGCGGCTCCAGAGCACTGGGAATTGGGGGGTCCTATTCGTGAAGCGAGTCATTTGGGCGAAGATCACGATGCTGCACCAGTTTTACGAACAGTGAATGAAAGGTATCATGTGATAACATATACAAAGTTATTGTGCATCCTCTTGACACGTTTTTGCTATAATAGGCGGATCCAGGCGTCCAAAAAGGGGGGTTATTTTTTACCTCCCAACATAGGTGCCCTGACACCGCCTATGCATGACCAATACAATTTTAGTCGTTCTCTCATAAGAAAATTGTAACATAACAAGACCATTGCCACCCTTTTTAGAAACAGTACCAACAAAAACCTTATTTACTATACTTTTTGTGTACCCCCAATCTCAATGATCTGTATCCGCCTATGATTTTTGAAAATGCATATTTTTAGGATCCATGTGAATTCCTGGTTCATTCTCTATCGATCGGCAAAAGTTGCGTTAAGATTGGTTCAGAAACCTGGCCGTGATAAACAGTCTAAAATGTATCTGCAATTTGCCCTTTTTCACCCCCCTCTACCCCCCTATTGACATATTTTTTTTTTTTTAGAAATGTAGATCTCGTTGAGCCAAATCGAATGCCGTTTGAATTTTGAAAATCGGCCCGTTAGATCTCGAGATATCAAGGGGGGGTCGTAAACAGCCCCCCCCCCCTGCCACTAATATGGGGTAGCCAGGAGCCTGCCACTAATAGGGTTAAATAGCAAAAGCACCTAAATATAATATGTGATTCATGTGTTCTATTATATATAGTTCCTTCATTTTCATTCAACCTTCGCCCGGGATGCTGGGGGCCTTTTTGGTCACACTCTCCAGCTTTTTTGTTGCATTTGTAAATAAACAGCGGCGCGCAGCACCGTTAAGTTTGGTATAGCTTATCATGCATCAATTTTGCACCGAGTGTACATTTTTTAACCCTAGGTCACCGAATGTCAGGTCACCAAGATATGTTTAGTAAACATGCCTCTAAAACAAATGCAATCCTGTCATTCCTACAGCTTCTCTTCTAGAGCTTTGAAACTCAGTGAATTGCATAATTGATTAATCTCATTAATGCGCATACCTTCTCCGATTTTTCACAGCAGTGACCTGGAGTCAGGTCAGATCTGTGAGCGTGACTTCGCCCTTGTAAAGGCCTGGCTACACTTTGCGTTTTCTGCGTGCGTTTTTTTGCGAGTTTGCGTATTGTGCATAATATCGTTCTAGAAAAAAGGTTATTTTTAATTTAACTTCTTTAATATTTAAATAAAAATTAATAAAACGTTTATGTTAATTAAAAGTATATATGAAAAATATATAACAAAAACGTAATATCGTTTATTTCTAGAACGATATTCCGCAAATCACGCAAACTCGCAAAAAAACGCACGCAGAAAACGCATAGTGTCGCCGGGCCTTAACCTTCGCCGGCCAAGGCCATTTTGCAATTTGCATCCTTCGACGGCACAAGGGGGGGGGGGTAGTTACGATTGTTACGATTACACACTGAGTTACGATTGAAGATGATAACCAGTTCCGCTAATCCATATAGGTAAGGTATAGGTTCATTGCTTCCTTATCAAGTACCTATCAATCCCATTTACCAAGACGAATCAGTGGTCTTGCATGCCAGGGCTTAAAGGGCGAAAGAAGCTGACTCAAATATCATTTTGGGCTCAAAAACGTCAATTTTCAGTGGCCACCGGCCGGCAGTGCTTGGCCCCAGGCAACGACGTTTGCATTTTAATTACGCATTGACGTTTGCACTAAGCGTAGACTGGCCCTCTTCCTAGTTCCTACATCATGTTACGTACACGAAAATTGGAGCTGGCGTCCATTAGTCGCAGCTTAGTGAATACCTACTTCAGTTCTAGTTGCAAAAAGTTTCGTTTGATATTTTCTTCTTTGGAACAGTACATACATGAGCTTTGAAAGTTAATTTTTCTAACGTCACCGTCAGACCCGTTATGAAAAAAGGAAATCGAGAAGATTCCTCCAAAGTCGAATGGTATAGGCGGACACCCTGTCACGAGCATCATTCCCAGGAGTGTTTGCTGAAGACGTCCCGCTACCTGGCCTGGATGGCAATCGCCCGCGGGCAGTGCTCAGGTGCACGGTGCGCGAGCGACGCCACGCCACGGAACGGTCGCCAGTGGTCGACGGGCGCTGCTGGGCGGCGGGTGGGGCGTGCAGGACCAGAACGGGACACGGTACACCCATAGCTGGACGGTGCGACGTCACTGGTCGCCGACCGGCAGTCACCGAGTGACAGTCACCCAACTTCGAGTGACGGTCACCAGCCTCTGGCTGCAGGCCAGCGCAGTGCGTGGACATGGAGCTCAGAAAGGCAAGTACTAATTAAATATAAGTCGTCGGATTTACAGGCATGCTGGAGCGAAATCGTCTAAGTAATCGCGCAGGTTATTGAACCGCGATGTAGCTCTCAGCGTACCTGTTTGTAGAAAAGAGGAACGGTTTAGTAGCCTGGTCATTTTTTCCTGGATATGAAGTATGCCATACCAACTTCTCTGATTCCTGTCTGGGACAAAAATAAGGTTAACAAAGCTTCTCATACTCGTGTAGCACACACACACACACAAGCCCTCAATAACGTACCTTCAGTTTTAACCCGCGCGGGGCTGGGGGGGGGGTAAATTTTACCCCCCCTCGCGAATTTTTGCGATATCTCAAAAACGGCGGCGCGCAGCGCCGCCAAACTTTCAGTACCTTTTCTTACATCAATTTGACACGTTCCCTGAAAATTTGAGCGAAATCCGTCGGAAAATTTTTGAGAAATTGACGTTTTAGTGACGTCATGTTCGCCATTTTCGCCTCAAAAACGGCAAAAGTTCAAACGCCGCTAACATCTTCATTTTTAAAGGAATCAAGACGTAACAAAAAAGGTTATACGTAATTTTACTTTGTCTATCAAATGGCTATCTCGGTTTTTTGAAAATTTTGGATTTTGGCCTAATTTTTTTTCAAAAAACTGATTTTTTTGGGAAAATCATTATAAAATCCAAAATTTTGAGTCTATCGAAAAAAACGGAATATATGTCAGAGAAGTGGTCTATGTGCACCTACATACCAAATTTTAGAAGAATCGGTTCAAAAATGTGGGAGTTATTCAAAATTTTATGACGTCACGACACACAAATTTTTTGAAAAATGACTTTTTTGGAAGTTCTAGACATCGTACGGAAACAAAAATAGCACCATTTGATTTGCCGTGAAAAACTGCATCAGATAGACACCTTTTTAGGCCTTAACAACCAACTTCAAAATTTGACCTCACTTGACCTGACCTTGACCTGACCTCGACCTGAAATTCATCCAGAGGTGGTCCATATCACTTATTGAGTGTGCCTATTGAATTCTATGAGTAAAATGACCCATAAAACATGTGTCGCACATGCCCTTTTCTATATTTTGTTTTTTGGTGACCTGACCTGACCTGACCTGACCTTGACCTTGACCTCTGAATGATATTGTATGCAACGAATATTGTCTTGGTAGCCTAAGAACACGTTTTGGGCGATCAGTCTCAGTCCATGACTCCATTCTTCGGCAACTACGGTGCAAGGCCGATACTGTAGAAACTTGCAATTTGTACCCTTGACCTGACCTTGACCTTGACCTCAAACTTTAAATTAAGTACATGATTTTAGTAGTTCGTGATGAGAGCTTTCGATTGGCGTTTGAATTTTCCAAATCGGACCATTAGTTCGGGAGATAACAGGGGGGGTAAAATTTACCCCCCCCCCCCCAGCCCCGCGCGTTCGGCTGGAGACCCCAGCCCCGCGCGGGTTAATTAAGATTTTGCCTAGTTTGTTTGTGTGTAGTAGGTAGCCGTAACTGACTTTTCCGAGTCACGAGTAGCAGTGCAGACAATGCGTTTAACCAGACACTGTTTTTGAAGGTGTAGGCACATACGATAGCACAGATGAGAGTACAAACTTTAATTCAGCCGTATGATAGTGGTCGGTTTTAAAAGATTTTATAATGAATATGTAGGCATGCGTAATTTCATTGCAGTTATTCCAAGTGTGTTTTTTACATTTCTTTCACGCTGTTTGACAAAGGTATGCATAAAGGCCGTTGTCGTAGCTGTGGAAGCCATTGCAAAAAAGTCACCAACTCACGGGAATTTCATAAAACATACTTGTCTTCTATCAAATGATCCTATTCTAACAGCACCACATGTTCCAATCCAATCACTTAGAAAAAAAAAGTTTAAGAAAAGGTTTTAACCCGCGCCCCACTGGGGGGGGGGCTATTAAAAGCCCGCCCTCCCGTTTTTCTGCAATAACTTCCAAACCGCTTGACGTATCGACGGTAAACTTTCAGTACCTTCGGCTGCATCAATTTGACACCTTGTATCAAAATTTGAACTTCGTACCTACCATAGGTCGGCCGGAAATGACGTCAGAGTGACGTCATGTTCGGCCGATTTCGACGCAAAACATTGAACCACGGCAATCGCTCCCAAGAGCTTAGTTTTTAAGCTAGATCCAATTTCTTTGCATGAGAGGACTCAGAAATCAGAATAGACTGTGCTATCAAACTGCTATCTCGGATTTTCGAAGTTTGGAAAGTTTCGAAAATTGTATATAATAAAATTCAAAATTTATATTTTTTACATTTTTTTCCAAACATTTTTGACTTTTCGAAAAAAACGGAACATATGTGATAGAACACATTATTATGACTAAATCTAGCAAGTGTTAGCTAAATATCTTCAAAAATGGCTAAGTTTTACGCATTATTGCAAAAAATTAACAATTATTAATTTTTCAAATCAATTTTTCAGCACGAATTTGACATCGTACGCCACTATAAATAGCACCATCGTGTTCCTGAGCTCAAACTGCATCCAATAGACACCTTTTTTGTTGAAAAATTTTAACTTCAAAATTTGACCTTTTTTGACCTGAAAGTGACCTGACCTAAGCTAAATTTGACTCAAAATGACCTCGAATGACACAGACGACATTCAATTCGAAATGTTTGGCCTAAATGGACCATAAAACGTGTGTCACGTGAGCGACGGATGATATAATATTTTCGTGACCTGTGATGACCTGATCTTGACCTGAAAATCAAAATACAAGTTTGGTACCCTCAGAGTATCTAGAGCATCTGTTCACGAGTGTGTGAACCAAAAATGAGCCTGATCTGACTTGTAAGACGGCGGCCAGAGCCCAAAACGTGAAGAAGCCAAAATGCTAATAATGTTTACTTTGACCTGACCTTTGACGTCATCGGTGACCTCGAGGTCAATGAAATTAGGTTTCGCTCGACAGTTTTTCCGGGGCTATCAGACGCCGTTTGAATTTTGACGATCGGCCCAGTAGTTTCGGAGTTAGGAGGGGGGGCTAAGAATAGCCCCCCCCCCTCCAGTAGGGCGTGTTATACGCAGACCCCAGTGGGGCGCGGGTTAACATCCGAAACTCAAGCGAACGACCATAGTTATTATTATTTTCTACGATCGCGATGCCAATCTAAGCCGAATTACCGCCGTGCCCTCTTCACTGTCTGCCCGCTGCCAAACTCGCTAGGTGTGATACGAAATGATTATGTCTATAAGTAATTTTATCAAAGCTTTGCGGTAAAGAGCAGTGGTAGTCCGGTGGTCCGGATCGGTTACTGAGTAGTCGATTGTCGAACATCGCCATTGATGTTTCGTCTGTGGCTGAAGGATAACTATATAACTAAGGATAAGCTGAAGGCCATCCTTGATAACTATTTTTGAGTAGGGTGTATGAAAAATTGCCAAGCTGTTTGGTGTTGTCGGAAGAAGCTGTCGGTCTACACAATTCGATCTTAACCCGCGCGTCGTTGAGGTCTGGCAGGTTACACGTCCTGTTGGGGGGGGGGGGGGCAAAGGCCACCCCCGTTGTATCTCCGGAACCAATAGCCGGATCGGAAAAATTCAAACGGCATTCGAAAGAGCTCATCGAGATGCATAAGACAGGATATCGATAACCGGAGAGGTACTGAAAGTTTCAAGTCGAAATTCGCAGTCGTTTCTGAGTTATCTGCGAAAAACCACAGGCCCCCCCCCCCCCCCGAACGGGTCGCGGGTTAACTGTGGTGAAGATACGCCGTATGTTTGAATGCGAATTTCGCTGGGGTCGTGTGGCATATGTTCAACATTTAGCAACATTAGCATTGGCATATTAGCAACATTAGCCCTATGAGCGTTGCATGGAAAGAATGGGACCAAGTGCCCCCCCCCCCTTAATTGAAGGTGTTCCGCCGCTACTGCATATGTTTTATCATTGATGCGGCATTTTAACCCTCGCATGTGTGCGGCGTTTGCCAGCTTCTAATGTGTAGGGGGGGGGGGGTCGGTTGGACCCCCCCCCCCCTTGCCGTTTGGCCCCTGATCGAGCTAGAGCTTCGCGAAAAAAAAACGAGCGTGTTGCCCGTGACGAGAGGAAGCCGATGATACCCAACTTTAACCCTCGCATGTGTGCGGCGTTTTCCAGCTTCTAATGTGTAGGGGGGGTCGGTTGGACCCCCCCCCCCCCTTGCCGTTTGGCCCCTGATCGAGCTAGAGCTTCGCGGAAAAAAACGAGCGTGTTGCCCGTGACGAGAGAAAGCCGATGATACCCAATTTTAAGGTCCTAGGTCATTGGTTGACCTTCCAGGTCAGGTCAATGACCCAAAGTCGGGAAAATCGGGACCTATTAGAAAGTCGTAAAGTGTGGCTGCTAAGGGGTTTTTCGGGGTGCTGATCACGAAAATCGTGTTAGTTTTGATCACAGATGATGTCTTTGAGCATTTAGACCAGGTCGGGTCAGGTCAGGTCAGGTCAATCAGTAGGCGTCGTGACGGGTATTCGTAGTACGTGTCAACCGCCTCTGACAGCTTCGTAACATGTTACGAAGGCACCAAAACTACTTCGTAAATGTTCAAATGGTTGCTAAATTCGAATTCAGCTCCAAAAACTAGCCTAGAAACATGTAAAACTCGAAAAAGTGAACCGAGGTCACCCGAGGTCACCAAAGGTCAATGACCTGACCTGACCTTCAGGTGACCTTGACACCCACCCTAATGCATGGGAGCAACATCAAATCACATGTTTGAACGTTTGAAACCACGAAAAGCTTGCAAACGCGCGGCTAATGCGAGCCGACGTACGCCGAATCGCGATTCCGGCCAAACATGGTCTCGGAAAAGAGGTCACAGGTCAAAGGTCATTTGGGTCAGGGTCATGAAATTTTCAGGGTAGGTGTCAAATTGATCAATGCGAGGGTACTGAAAGTTTCGTCGCGATCGGCCGCTTTTTACGCGAGTTATTCGCGAAAAACCATGGGGGGGTCCATCCGACCCCCCCCCCCTACACATGCGAGGGTTAAGGTCCTAGGTCATTGGGTGACCTTCCAGGTCAGGTCAATGACCCAAAGTCGGGAAAATGGGGACCTGTTAGAAAGTCGTAAAGTGTGGCTGCTAAGGGGTTTTTCGGGGTGCTGATCACGAATATCGTGTTAGTTTTGATCACAGATGATGCTTTAAGCATTTAGACCAGGTCGGGTCAGGTCAGGTCAGGTCAACCAGTAGGCATCGTGACGGGTATTCGTAGTGCGTGTCAACCGCCTCTGACAGCTTCGTAACATGTTACGAAGGCACCAAAACTACTTCGTAAATGTTCAAATGGTTGCTAAATTCGAATTCAGCTCCAAAAACTAGCCTAGAAACATGTACAGCTCGAAAAAGTGAACCGAGGTCACCCGAGGTCACCAAAGGTCAATGACCTGACCTGACCTTCAGGTGACCTTGACACCCACCCTAATGCATGGAAGCAACATCAAATCACATGTTTGAACGTTTGAAACCACGAAAAGCTTGCAAACGCGCGGCTAATGCGAGCCGACATACGCAAATTCGCGATTCCGGCCAAACATGGTCTCGGAAAAGAGGTCACAGGTCAAAGGTCATTTGAATCAGGGTCATGAAATTTTCAGGGTAGGTGTAAAATTGATCAATGTGAGGGTACTGAAAGTTTCGTCGCGATCGGCCGCTTTTTACGCGAGCTATTCGCGAAAAACCATGGGAGGGTCCATCCGACCCCCCCCCCCCTACACATGCGAGGGTTAACTCACTTTGCTAAATAGCTCCTGATATGTCACAATACTCTGCCGGCTGCTATCGAGCAGTGCTGTCTGGCATATACGGCAGATGCGTGTACAAAACAGTTACAACGCTGTCAAGGGTACTGTTAGCTGGTGATGCATTGACAAAATCTATACTACTATTTGAGGAGGGTGCGTCTGTCCGTTACCGAGGTCCCGACTTGGCGGTGCTTTGCGTGGACTACAGGCCAGACCGTTGCACCTAGCCCGGTGAAATTTGCACAACTTATAGATCAAGGATGCGCGACGTGCCTTTGAGGGGTCTCAGCTCGATCGGATTGATAGGGAGCGCGTGGCGCGTGCTCAAAAAGTGCAAATTCGCGTCATAGACTTTACATGTATGAATCGGCGTGCGAAATCGGGCGAAAACGGCTAATTTTGGCCGACACGGGTCCAGTTCCCGTGCAATATCTTGGTGACCAGGGGTCCGACCGGCACGGGGAAAACAGCATCGTGTACAGAATTTAACGGGCTATTGAATGGTGTGCAATGCAGAGGATAGCACGCGCCACGTGCACCGGAGAGGGCACTTTTATTTGAAAAATTGCGGTTTTTGAGGGATTTTGGAATTAACCCTCGCCCTGGCAGGGCATTTTTCATAACACGGCCTGGCAGGGGGGGGGGGTCGATGCGACCCCCCCCCCCTCGCGATTGGCTCCTATGGCACCTAGAAACACCAAATTTGGTAGGTAGGTGGGCCCCCTGGAGTTCTCGCCTCTGTGCAAATTTGGTTGCTCTAGGTCAATATTTAGGGGGGTTTTGGGGGGTATAAATGTAAAAATTTCGCTAAAAACAGGTCAAAAGTTTTTCACTTATAACTTTTGATCTAATTAAGATAGAGCAAAAAGAAAAGCACCAATGAACTCAGCACGTCAAGGCGCGTCGAATGATATACTTTTTAGCTTGCTTAAGTGTACTTAAAGTTTTTCTTAAATTTTAAGTAAACTTAAATTAATAAATTAAGTTCAAGTTAATCAAATTGCATCATATCGCATATCATTCGATTCGGCTGATCACCAGGAACACAATGATACCATTTTTAAGCTCTAGCGTCATTATGTGCCAAGTTATTGGCAAAAACGTCATTTGACCTCAGTTGACCTCATTTGACCTGACCCATGGATAAGTACACCTAACAAAGAAGCACCAAGTGACCTGCTGTTAAGTACCGTGGTTTCAAAGCACAAAAGTGATAGAACGAAGCGGATATCTCCAGTATTTTCCGAATTTAGTGTTTTCCCATAGGCTTAACATTACGACGTAATGACCTCTAACTGACCTCAGGTCAGTGACCTCAAAAAAGCCGGACTATATGTTATACAACTCGGTGAACTTAGCACATCCTGAAAGTTTGAAAGAAATCAGTCAAAAAATGTGAGTTGGACAGGTGCAAAAAGAAAATTGAAATTTGACCATGACCTTGTACCGGTTTTTCTGACCTGGTGACCTGACCCAAGGTCACCCGGACCTGAAATTTTCAGGTCATATGTAAAAAGGTTGCCCCATAGGCTGTGCCAAATTTGGCGGCGCTGCGCGCCGCCGTTTTTACGCTATCTTCGAAAAACCTTAGGGGGGGGTCGCATCGACCCCCCCCCTGCCAGGGCGAGGGTTAATTTTATTTTTAGGTGACTGTTAAAGGGAGCGAGTTGAATCAACGCCTATTTGCAAGAGAAAGGTACCGCCTCTCATATAAAAATTGTGAAAAGCTGATTGATCCAAATCAAGGTGGTGCAAATCACAGGAGAAAATGGTGTTTGTCAATTTTGTGCCACTTTGTTAATCACACGGGGTTTGCTGCATAACCTGATACCTTTGGCAATTGAATATGGTACCATTGGATAGAGCATTCAATTCTGTCCAATATTCACTCTTCATTTTTGCATGATTAGCAACAGTATCCTTAACCCGCGCCGGGCCGGGGGGGGTGTTTGAACACCCCCCCTTGCGGTTTTTCGCAGATATCTAAAAAACGGCGGCGCGGAGCGCCGCCGTTTTTGGCACACCTGTTCGTGCATCTTTTCCGCACATGTTGTGAAAATTTCAGACCCAGGTCACCTTAGGTCAGGTCACCAGGTCACGCCAAGTGACCTCACCTCAGAAAAAATAAGAATGCTCGTCATAGCTACACCGACTGAACGATTGCCTTGAAACTTTCAGCGATTGATAAGAGCAACACTATCTATAAAATGTATATCTCGGAATTTTGATATCGGTGACCTAAGGTCAGGTCAATTTTGCGGCCTCTCCATTATAAGTCAATGGGAGAAAATTGAAAAGCGTCTGTTTCGCACGAACGCTATTCTAGACACTCTCAAACATCGAGATGTAGGTAAAATAGACACACTGAACCAGAAAATGGCAACTGTGGCCCCTCGTTATGTCCCCGAGGTCATCTCAGGTCACGAACAGAATCTAACACTTTTTCGATGATAACTTCTGATAGAGGAGTGCTAGAGCGCTGAAAACGCCTTAGATGTGTTCGGCTCGACGTTGCGGATCGACTGATATGCAATATGACCTTTTCCGGTCAGGTCATGACCTTGACCTGAGGTCAAATTTTCAAGTTGACCTTTCAAGGTCAAATTATAGTTCATTCGATGCGTCTCGACGAGAGGAACACGATGCTGGCAAAAGTAATGTCATAGCTCCTTTGAGTCAAAAGTTATTGCCGAAAAAACGTTTTTCGTAAAAACGGCTATTTTTGGAGTTTTTGCCCTCTGGAGGCTAAACTGTTGACCTGAGGTCAAATCTGAGAATATTACTCAGAAAGGTCTGTAACAGGGCTATCGAATGCGCTTTTCCGCGGCGCTGTAGCTCTATCGGTTCCCGAGATAGCCGTTGGCAGTTTCCAAAATGTTGAAATAGTCAACATTTTACCTTTGGTGACCTCTGGTGACCTGACCTTTGACCTGACCCAAAAAATGACCGAAGTGTTTTCGTCCTTATTTTTGACGTTCTTTCGATTGCCGCTTACCGCGTGTCGCTACGTGGCCCAGGAGCCGAGTTAGAAGGGGGGGTGTTCAAACACCCCCCCGCGGCCCGGCGCGGAATCTCAGAGCACCGGCCCGGCGTGGGTTAAAAATGTAAATGTTCCAAACCATTACATTGTCATTTTTAGCGAAATTCATCGATGGCCCTCAAAAGACTTCACGCCAGTTTTCGAATCATTCTAAAGTAGAACCACAGACTTCTCTATATATAGAGAAGTCTTATGACTTAATGACTTATATAGAGAAGTCTGTGGTAGAACGCATTATAATACGACACGGGCACCTCGATGCGATGCATCTTTTTTGTTTTGGCCATCAAAAAGCATTCGAACGAAATGGATACCAACCAAATCAACACAGACCAACCCAATACCCACGGGTCACAAATAACCCTTCTTCGCGTTGCGGAGCACGCGGGTAACCCTAGTGAGTGTCCATTTATGCTCATCCAATCATGCATCAACTATCAGGCTATCAGACAAATAATAGCCGTTTTCACGACGGGCTATCAGGCGAATGCACCTAGCTGGACCAAATCTGCACCAAATCTCTTTTGCAGCAAATATCTTCATTTTATGAATTTATTTCAGTGTTTTAATCGATGATACTCTCTCATAATATGACAAAGGAGGCATATACGCAATTAGTGCAACCCTAGCTGATAACTTCTAAGAGATACACTGAACCCAATTTGACCAAATCTGCACCTAATCTGCACCAAATGTGCACCAAATGTGTACCAGATGGCCGTCGTGAAAACGGCTATTATCGGTCGTAGCAATTCGTCAAGGATCAAGCTCAGCTATGCAACATGCGCCTTGGAAATTATGATTACCAACGATTAAATGTCCTCACGAATTATGCGGCCAGACTTCAAATTGCGCCAACTTCGTTGCATGTGCGATATACGAGCATGATCAAATTGTACTGATTTTAACGTTAATTTGCTCCTTCAGGCAATGCGCTTCTGCCATCTGAGCCGCAGCACCTCCACCCGTGTCATCATCATCGGCGCCATCATCATATGGGCGGCCATCTTCAACATGCTGACCTACAGGCGGCCGGCGACGGTGGTCGAGCTGCGCTCGGTGGCGCAGCCGCCGGCTGGCTGGTCGCAGTCGCGCCGGGTGGTACACGACAGTGCCCGAGTCAGAGAGCCGGTCAAGGAGAGGGTGGAGCCGGCCAGAGCACACACCGGACAGCTGGCCGAATCTCACGCGCCACTCAGCTGTTTCACGTGAGTCCCGTCGTGATTGCATTGTTCACGATGGAGAGAAAGCGGCACAAGAACGATGGGTGTCGACGTTGCCTGTCATGCGGCGCCGGCGAAATTTAGCGCTGGAAATGTGCTGGGAGGTGATCAGAGTCCGCACCGCTATCCGAGCCCAGACAGCCGCGTGGGCATATTGTGCATCGTCATCATCATGACTGGTAATCCCACTGGCGGATGAAGAAAGGCGGTCTTCGACGCTGCGGGGGCGTTCCTCCCAGATAAACTCCTCCAAATTCCAAAAAAAAACTCTTCGACTTTCCATTTTACGCACTACTGTTAAATAACTTTTTCTGTCATCAAAATTGTTTAGTTTTATTTCCATTTCTAAAAAATTGTAAATTTTCGTCGATTTCGGGCGCTGCGGGGGGAGGGGGAGGGAAACATTTGTTCGAAATACTGCCTCCTTCTGGATCCTCCAGTGGATAACCTAACCCCCGAAAGTTAACTTGAACATTATGTTCGGTGGGCTTGGAATGGTGCTCATACAGGTGTTAGGGAATATTACTTTGCCTAAATGGCGAGACGTCAAGTAAATGAAAGAATCGATTAATCACAGCTTTAATAACTGCACTTTTAAAGGTACATAGGATGTACTTTTGAGCCGGTCACTTCTTATTGGCTAGCACAATGGCGAAAACTTCTGGCCAAATCCCATTTGTATGTGTAATGATGCAGGCGTGTTTTTTCAGGGATCTCTCCAAACCCGAGGACAGGGTCTTTAACAGTGAAGAGAAGGCCATGTTCCGCTACCTGTTTGACTGGCCGGAGGTACCGACCAGCTCCTGCAAACGCATGTTCAAAATGGGCGGCCTGGCCAGCGGCAAGGGCTGCCTGACCGACGGCGACAAGCACGTCTGTCTCGACGAGCCGCTCTCGTTAGCGGCTGCCCACGACGACTGCCTCATCTACTCGTTTGGCATTAACTACGACTGGAGCTTCGACGAGGCCGCCAGGGCCTTCGGCTGCGAGGTGCACTCGTTCGACCCCAGCATCGACTACCCCGAGGGCAGACGCTCGGACGGCATCACCTTCCACCACTTCGGCATCGGCCGCAACAACCACACGAACGTGTACGGCTGGCAGATCTACACCCTCGACCAGATCATGGACATCCTCGGCCACAAGGGGCGCACCATCCACTACCTCAAGATGGACGCCGAGGGCGGCGAGTTTGACATGATGGCGCAGCAGCTGCTGGACGGCGACGGCGAATTCGTTCTCGACAAGGTCGAACAAATTGGCTTCGAGGTGCACTATCGGCTGGACCCTCGCCTAGAGATGGGCGACTTTTACCTGCTGGCAAACGAGACTATCCGCAGCATGCGCGAGCTCGGCTTCAACATGGTGATGTGGGAGTACAACAAGGTGGTGTGGCAGCGGTACATGTTCCCGGGAGTGGAGCGGCCCGTCAGCCTGCTCTACGAGATACTGCTGATCAAGAACGGTCCCGACACGTGGGACCGCTCCAAGAGAGGACGCCGGCAGAGGGAGGCGGCGGCGGCAGCGGAGCAGGCGGCGGCAAAGGCAGCAGCTTCTGAAGCGGCAGCGGCCAGCCGGCGGCGGTGAAGACTATATATGTGATATTCTGCCAGGGCTGGGCAGTGGGAACTGGGAATGTTATGCATTGTGTTGCGGTAGACCCACCACACGTCTTCAGCTAAATGACTGTGTAGGTTACAATCGTGATGCCGTTCTCGAATATGTACGTGGTTGTTGCAAAGCGTTGCTGTTGTCCCCGACGTGACGGTAGGTTACAATCGCGATGCTATTCAGGGAAAATGTGTGTGTAGTTATGTGTGTTGGAGTGTTGTTGACCATTATGTCCGGACTTCAGTATACACAGATCAAAATCATATACGTTTAACACAATGCTTGGTCGTGAGTGCTGTACAGGTTCCTGTTAGGAAGATATTTGGGACGCCTGAGACCTCAATTGATGCAATTTGACATTTGTCCAAATATGATGCTTGCGTATTATTTTTGTTTGTGAAAAAAAAATAGTTGTAATAAACTTGGAAAGATGCCTCGATTATGCTTCTCGATCCATTAGCTTAGCTGGACTCATCTGCGATTGTACTACGAACGAGCTTCTGTCCATTGCATTACATTTCAATATTCAATTCAATACGTAGTTCAAATTGGTAACAAATACACTTTAAAATGACCATCGATAATTAGTTAATACCATTGAACTCTCGTGTTCGTACTAATTCATAAACAGAAGCTTGTAAAAGCTGGTAAAAGCCACAGCGACTGGCGTTGCCTGCTGGAAGCTCGGCCCGATCTCCCACTCTCCAGCCACATCGCTGCTACAAATGTGGGCCACCGCGTGCTGCACCGGCAGACATTGACCGGCCTGCAGCGCGCCTGGCCGCGTCGGCCCGACACCGTTACAGGAGAAACGGTCGGTTTTTGTTACCATCGAGAGCCGGCAGTGACCGGCATGTTTTGCCGTCGGCCTCACAGAGCGCGAGTGCTTGATTTCAGTGATGCACGTAGATACGGTCGTGCTCTACTTCCTTTTAATTTAGTGTTATAGTCTTGTGTAAATACACCTATTCGCCTTTGTGTTTCAAGTTCGACTGTTTGGATTCTATTAAAATAGTATCAGCCGCGAAACATACAAGCATATAAACATATGTAGTATGTACCTACATAATATTTGGATAAGAGAAAACCCCGCGCGTGATGAACAATACCTAAAAAACTTTGTTTGTTTGTTTGTTTTGTTGGGTTAGGCCCTTTCGGTCTGACAAGACCATTTCAGGGCCGGAAGGATAATAGAAAATAGGGGGGGGGGGTGAAATTTGTCTGGGTGAGCAGTGAGCACCCTGGTGAGTCGCCGGGGCTGAGCCCGTTCAGAGGACAGGCCGACCAGCCTCCCAAGCACTCGCCGCACCCAGCGACGGGCGTGCTCTTACGGGCAATCCCGCATGGGATAAAGCTGCCCGTTCAGCCCCGAGCAGGTATAACCCGCGCCCTGGTGGGGTCTGTTTATAACGCGACCTGGTGGGGGGGGGGGGCTATTTTTTGCCCCCCCTCGTATCTCCGAAACTACTGGACGGATCCGAAAAATTCAAACGGCGTTCGAAAGGCCTGTCAAATTTGTCGAAGGAAACCAAATTTTATTGACCTCGGGGTCACCGATGACGTCACAGGTCAGGTCAAAGATGAAATGTTTCACCGTTCACGGGTCTTCTAGGGAATGCGCTATAACACCTAGAAAAACGCATTTTGTCGGGAATCAGCGATAGGGCGTCAGTTGCCTAGTAGATATGTTGCTGTTAGAGGTCACTGGTCATACCAGGTCAGGTCACAGGTCAGGTCACCAAAGGTCACCAAGGGTCACCACATGAACCCAACTTTACTAAGGTTATGCGATGCATGTTTTATGGCCAGTTTTTCATTTCCAACTCAATGGTGTTGGTTTTAAGACCATCAGGTACGGTTTAGGTCACTTTCTGGTGGAGGTCAGGTCAAGGTCAGGTCAAAAGAGGTCAAATTTCAAAGTTGATATTTTTGCATAAAATGGGTATTGATTCGATGCAGCTCGTCACGGGGAGTCTAATGGTGGTCTTTGTTTTGCGCTACGAGGTCTAGAATTGCTGAAAATTGAGTTTGAAAATTTGACGTTATCAATTTTGAACAGTTTTTTCGCTATAACTTGGCCAAAAAAAGAGGTATCGATCTCAAATTTGGTATGTAGATAGAAGGCGGTAAGGACTATCACATATATTCCGGTTTTTTCGAAATTCAAAAAACTTTTTGGATTTTTTGGCTATTATATTCAAAAAATCTTTTTTTTATTTTTGGGGGTCAAAATCCAAAAATTTCAAAAATCCGAGATAGCAGTTTTGTAGCCCTGTTCATTCTACAGCTTTTATGTCTGTATCATTTTTCTGTATTTGCAAAGCTATAGGCCTGACAGCTCTTCCCGCGAAACCCTTTTTTGGGTCGAAAACGGCAGAACATGACGTCACTCTGACGTCATTTCCGGCCAACCTATCATAGCCTTTGGAAAAAATTTTGGTCACAATGTGTAAAATTGATGTCCGGGAGGGTACTGAAAGTTTGGTGACGATCGGCGCAGTGGTTCTGGAGATATATCGAAAAGTCTGGAGGGGGGCAAAAAATAGCCCCCCCCCACCAGGTCGCGGGATAAGCAGGGTTGTATACGACTCAATCAATAGCAATCAATTCAATCACGACAAATTTGGGAAACCAATCAAATCAATCAAGTCAGAGCAGTTTTCGGGAATTGATTCAATCGACTCAAACGCGACAATGACAGGAATCAATCAACTCAATCAAACGACTCAAACCAAACATACATCAGGTTTTTGACCCACCAACTTGGAAAAGTGTCCATAGCAGTCTGGTGTACCTATAGTTCGTTTTTTTTTTTCAAAAGGACGCTGGCTCCAAGTATGTTTTTCGAACAAGCACGTGTTTTAGCGAGCAAAACCAGCAAAAACTGAACCTGAGAAAATCGAACGTCGACTAATTTTAACATGTGATTTCTTCCCGATAATTTCCATATGGGCGTTTTGGAAGCAGATATGAGAACAGCGGTGACGTCATGCTGTCGAACATGTATTGCAATGTAACGTATAACTATCATGGACGGAACCGCTTACTCGATTATGCTCGGCAACAGTGAAAAACTAAGTTTCACCCAAATTCGTTGACACTTGTCCCACTGCACGGGCATTTGGGTGCCTGCTGCCACCAGTGACGCCATCATAGTATGTTCATTTTTAAGAAACAATTTCCAGCTACTTACCGTACAAAATTTGAAATCGATTATTTTTTCGGTAAGAAATTCTTGGCCAGACACTGAAGCTGCCAATACTCACGTGAGAGCTTCGATATTGAACTTTGAGCCAGCGTCCTTTTGAAAATAAACGAACTATACCTACCTACCTACCCACAGAAGAAACATAAAAATATTGTCATTTAAAATTATAAATTGTCATGCCATTCAAAGTTTCTATGTAATAAGGAAGGATACCTAGTGATGGACAGGTGGATCATGATATTGAGGTTCAATGGGTAGAATTGGAGCAGAAGTTTCATTTAATGGGTGCAAAATAACCCAGTAGTTGACTCGCCCCTTAACCCGCGCCCTGCTGGGGGGGGGGGTGTTTGAACACCCCCCTTGTGGTTTTTTGCGAATATCTCAAAAACGGCGTTATCATACATCAATTCTACACATGTTGTGAAAATTTCAGACCAAGGTCATTCAAGGTCAGGTCACCAGGTCACTTGAAGTGACCTCACCTCATAAAAAGTTTCAATGTCTGTCATAGCTACACCGAGTGACCGATCGCTTTGAAACTTTCAGCGATTGCTAAGAGCAATAGCATGTACAAAATGTACATCTCAGAATTTTGATATCGATGACCTAAGGTCAGGTCAATTTTGCGACCTCCCCATTATAAGTCAATGGGAGAAAATTGAAATGTGCCTCTTTTGGACGAAAGACATTATAAACACTCCCAAACACCGAATTACAAGTGGTTTAGACACACTGAACATGAAAATGGTGTCCGTGACCCTTGTTTATGCCCTGAGGTCATCTTAGGTCACGAATGGTATCTAACAGTTTTTCGCAAATAACTTTTGATAGAGGCATGCTAGAGCGATGAAAACGCCTTAGATGTGTTCAGCTCGACGATACGGATCGACTGATATGCAACATGACCCTTTTCGGTCAGGTCATGACCTTGACCTGAGGTCAAATTTTCAAGTTGACCTTTCAAGGTCAAGTTATAATTCATTCGATGCGTCTTGACGAGAGGAACACGATACCGGTAAAAGTAAGCTCGTACATGGCTTGGGTCAAAAGTTATTGCAGAAAACTGTTTCCGAAAAAATCGGCTATTTTTGTAGTTTTTGCCCCCTGCAGGCCAAACCGTTGACGTTAGGTCAAATCTGAGAGAATTATCAGAAAGGGCGTTAATAGGGCTATCGAATGCGTTTTTCCGCGGCGCTGTAGCTCTATTGGTTCTCGAGTTATGCGTTGGCTTCTTGGAAATTTTCGACATTCGACCTGGAAATCGGCGAAATTTTGCCTTCAATGACCTCTGGTGACCTGACCTTTGACCTGACCAAAAAATTGACCAAGTAATTTCGTCATTATTTTTGACGCTCTTTCGAACGCCGCCTTCCGCGTATCGCTACGTGGCCCAGGAGCCGAGTTACAAGTAGGGGTGTTCAAACACCCCCCCCCCCCCCCAGCAGGGCGTGGAAATCCAGGACCCCCAGAAGGGCGCGGGTTAACCCAAATCACCACCTTTCACCTAAAAGTTGTCAATTTAAGTTTGGCCATATTCCAACTCCATTTACACTAAATATCAGATATTGCAGTTGAAAGTTGGCTGCTCGGATTTTGGCAGTGTTCGTAATTTGGCCATTTACCCTACACCATGTCTATTTTAATGAATAATATGCATCAATAACATATTAACCCTAGGGAAATAGAAATAAATATCTTACCTGCATGTGACGGTTTCGGTTAGACAGAGACTGACGGGCAGCCTGAAAAATCTTGCCACACAATGTGCATTTGAGACGTGGGATGTTGTCAGATTGGGAAGGAAGAGATTTGAAGTATTTAGCGGTCCACGACTCTGGACGTGGCATGTCAATGTTAGGTACCTATGTGAAGAATTCAAAACATTTTATTGCAATACAATTTGAAACTGTTAGGACTGGGGGATAGGGATGAGGATTAAAAATACATTTAAAAGGAAATGGAGAGGACAGGGACTCTGGAACCACAGGATAAGGACCAAGGAAGTAGGAACAAGGAAAATTAAAAGGTGAAAACCAAGGCCACATATAGGGCGAAAACGGCACGGTGCGACTGCGAGAAAACTTTTTGCCAATAAGTATGCTAAGCTTTTATAAATCCTTATTTTACGTCTTTTGATTTTTTTGGTAAGATGACGTCATTGATTATCATGAAGTATGGTAGATCATCATAAAATAAATCGGTTGTACAACACCAATTTCGTTTTAATTATTATTTCATTTGAAATAAAACCACTTAATAAAATTCGGTAAAATATTTTAAGGAAAATGAAATATATTAAATATGTTATGCTTAGGCTCTCAGGAGAAAAGGATCAACAAACGTTATGCTGCAAATTAAACAATGCAGCAAATTAGCTATTAATTAGGTACGTAAACGTAATTAGCGAGACGAAAACTGCGCTTTTGTTTCAGTTATTTTTGTAGGGGTTCAGATATTTATAGAGTTCAGTGGGTTGTTTCTGAGGAGATGTGGAGATGTGAAGTATTAATTAATCACACTTTATTAGTATATATAATATAGGGCCTTGCACTTTATCATCTGGATTTTAAAAACAGCGTTTCCTGCTGAGTGCAGAAAGGTAGGTAGGTGCATCACCAGGTTCTATCACCAGGATTGGAGCAGTTATTGCAGTTGAAAGTCAAAGTTGGCTGTCCATGTTTAGGCACTGTTCTTTATTTGGCCATCTACCCCATATTGCAGTTGTGATGACAAGCAGTTTTCAGTGTAGTTTTGTGATCTTTGATGTCATCAATTGGTGTCATTATTTTTCGTCAACTAAAACTTGTTTGAACTTTCCATTCAATCGACTCGTCAATCATACGAGTCACTCTAATTTTCGGGAATCAAATCAGTCAACCAGTCGCTAAAGTCAAACGAGTCAGTCAACCAGTCATCTCGAAAAGTCAATCGACTCAATCCAATCAACTCAAAATACGCGTTGAAACAAATCAATCAATTCAATCGACTTGATTGGTAATATTACTAAGTGCTCGAGCGAGGAACATATTGAATATAATTAGATAAATAAAAGAAGTTGACCTTTTCCTCGACATCACGTTGGTTTGATAAAGGCCAGTGGCCGAAAGCTCACCGTTTTTTAAAATATATTATTCGGCTTTTTACATTTTTGATGTCGAGGAAAAGGTCAACTTCTTTTATTTATCTAATTATAGACTTGATTGGTATAAAACCCTGGGTATAAGGCGTGGAGGAGAAGGATTGGTCTGTCCAGGAGATGGAAGACAGGAAACAGAAAACCTAAAAAGGCGCTGCCAGATAATTTACCGAATCCCTGATGTGTGTTCCCGCCACGTTTCGTCATCTCACCAGCTACCACTACCTGTTCCGCTCTCATACGCATATCATCGTGCGTTGACCCAGGGCGCGTGCGGCGCTGCGTAACAGGCGCCCTCGGGTCATAACGGTGGGCCGGCCAAGGCGAGCTGACCTCACAGATAGGCGCTCGCTCCGGCCCGGAGGTTCACTGAACGCACCCGGCTGACCTCAACTGGCATGCGCCCACAAGGTGCGCCCCGGGCAGCGCTCTCCGATCCGCATACACACACGCACACGCACATAAAGACGCACGCAGGTCAGGCGGTGCTGGCCAAGTTTGGTTTACCGTTCGATGAGCTGTCGGATGTGAGATCTGGGCCTCGTTTCATAAAAGGAATTACTTACGGCTTTCCGTCAATTATGCCAGATTTGGCGTATTTGATGCCAATTCGGTTTCATAAAGCCGGAGACCGGAGTAATTCACGCCATCGAAATTACGGAGCTTCATATACGGCAAATGCTCGATTCCGGACCAATTGATGCCGTTTGGGTTTCATAAAACGACGTAATTAACGCCAAATATTTTATCAAGTTCTTGATATCAGTGGTGTAAACTACGCACGAAAATGTTGCGTGAATTTGAATTAATGTGAAGATTCGAAGCTAATTTTTAATATATTTTATACTGTTGAGCCCGGTGAGGAAGAAAGAACAACCAAAATGAGACAAAGAAACTGCAAATCTTCTGTACCAGTCGCATTTTGTGGCCACAATCGGAATTTTGTTTATTCGCCGCGCCGCGCCACTTTCGTAGTTAGGCGCTTCTGCTTAGCTGGCTTTCTGCTGTTTTCAATATATTGATTTAATAAAGGATGATCATCAATATCAATTTTGTTTTTTCATAAATAATTTTTTAAGATTTAAATTCAACATAATTGTTTTATAATTTCTCGTAAAAAAATCAGTGTTGACATGAAATTGTAATTTGTAGGACGCTTGATAAATTACGGTAACTACGCAAATGTGCTTAGTTACGGAGGTGTAAACAATTCCACAGGGAGACACCGGTTGGTCACGTGACTCGGAAACAAAAATCAGCTGATAGAGTGGCGGAATCCCCGTAATCAAACACGAATAATTCCGGACGATAGAGCGGCAGTATAGGAGTCTTCTTCACAACAGGCAAACATCGCCACGTTTTTCATTCAATGATCAAGAAACGTTCATAAATTATATATTTTTTCGACGATTACCGCCGCAACCGACGCGCACATATCGTTACCAGCTGTGCTTTGCGATATTATTTGTAAAGAAACGGCCAATACCTACTAAATTATGTGCAACAAAGCTCGAAAAAGATAGCATTCTATATTGCTTCAACCTTCTACTTACGCTTTTATAATTACGACAGCGACACCATACGGCCTATCGACGCTATGCAACTCCGTGGAGCGTCCAGCCGCACTCTGCAGAGTGTGCCGAGATCGGAGGCGGACCATCCGCGGCACGTCCACCTGCGCTGCCCGGCCGCTGGAAGGGCGACGCCGACGCCTAGCTCGTCTGGATACCATCCACTCAACTGTTACACAGATGCAAAAAGACCGCCCGCTGCGCACACAACTAAGCTACTTGGCTACGCCCTCTCGGGGAGGGGAGGGAGGTGCAACAACCGTCAACAGTCTGAACTCTGATGAGCCAATGGAGTCTGTGAGCCGCGCCAATCAGCGCTGTTCCGCGAGTAGACGGGAGCTCTATTTTCGCTGGTCCGTCAGTCACCAGCATCGTTCCGTGCTCTCGATGGTAGCTATTCGGCCGTGTTTTCGTGTGTAGGTCAGCAAAAACAGTGAGAAAGATTCTCGGATCGCGCCAGTCGGTCGCAAGGGTATCAATTGTCTATGTACTTTCCAGTATTGCAAACGTTATTGTTAGGACCCGAGGGTAATCAGCAGTCGACGCATTTGTTGTAATAATAAAATTGAAAATATAGCGAGGTATATTCACTTAAATTCACATATCACCTTTGATTTTTTTTTGCACGCGCGGACTTCTTGTCCCCGCAGCTACAGCACACAGCCGATCTCCATGTTTCTGTTTCAGAGCTGCAGTGGACACGGCAAAAATACACTTATGTTCTGACAGCTTAATCCAAAAGTACACAGATTTCACGACGAACTACCACATTCATATAATTTTCTTGCTCACAGGTGCTCAGCAATAAGCGCGCGACTGATTGCAGCTAGTGCTCTCACGATTATTAATTCGCGCTCGCCAAACCTGCCATTTACATCCACCACCAATACCATCAGCATCTGTCCAATTAAGTACCTATTACCATATCGAGCCAGAATGAGACCACGACATATTATCGTCCTATTACATAGCACAAATTCGGGGGCGGGTGGGGGTGGGGGGGGGGGAATCCTCCAATCACAACCAACATCGTTTTGGGACGGGGAGTCGAAGCCGGGGCTCGTATCGACGTATCCTTCACATATCTGGGCGTCTCACTCCTTTCGACACTTAATCAACCCTGGCACACCATCCACCGAGCCAGGTCGGCTCCGACCATCTTGAGTTCCATACTGAAATCTGATAACTGACCGTCATTTGTTCCTATCAGTCAGCGCGCACTATGCCTTAGCACAGCAAGTGCACTGTGCAGCCTTCTTTGGACACCGCCTCGGAGCAGGGCGCTGGTCCTGGGTGCCCGGCGCCCTTTGTTCGTGTACGGCTAGCAGCATTTTCGGGGTCGGATGGTTTCCGCAGTGGCGGCGCTGGTCACCGTGGAGCCGTCGGACGACACCGTCAGATGAAGCGCCCGCAACTGGTGACCTGTGACACAGCGACACGTCAGGTCCCACGTCAGGTCTCACGACGACCGTCACGTTTCAGTCGCGACGGCCGTTATATAAACAATCACGGCGGCCGTCACATACCAGGCACAGTGACCGTTACACACGATCCAAGGCGACCGTCAATTAGCAGTCACGGCGACGTCACAGGTTGCGACGGTCCTCAAATGTCCGCCACGGCGACGATAACTCATAGCTCATAGCGTTTCCTGTCGCACACTTAGCCATCGCCCATAATTGCAATACATTAGCCTGTTTATACGTTTCTCACTCAAAAGTCGAGGTCCGAGTCTGAGACCCATCATACGTCACGACCCCTGCAACGGCATCTGCATTAGCAGACATCCCGTCCCGGCAGCACACAAAGTTCTCTCCACTCTCCAGCCACTCACCTATGGACTGGGGGGCGAAGTAATCTTGGGGGTGGCATAGCCAGGACGTGTCGTCGAGCTGCCGTCGGCGGGCGTGCCACGAATGGCCGGCGGACCTCCGTCGGCTGGCGGGCCACCATCAGCCGGAATGCCGTGGTCAGCCGACGGGCCGGCGTCGGTCGGCGAGCCACCATCAGCCGGCTGGCGGACCACTGTTGGCCACTGAGCCAGCGTCCGTCGCCGGGCCTCCGTCCACTGGCGGGCAGTCTGAATAACAAGAAATAGTTGAATTAGTTACTCTAGTGTTCACTGTTCAAGTTCATAAAGTACAAGTCTCAGCACACCTAATTCTATTCATATACACCGTATATCTATTTCATTATACATTGCTGTACAACCGTTTTTAGAATAATATTAGTCTTAAACTGTTAGCAAGTGAAAATGCCTTTTGTGTTCAGTTAGGCCTGTTGAGACCATTGCAGAAATGCAGACCATTGTGGAGCTGGAAGGAAGATAGGGAATTAGCTGCTGTGCTCCAGTGGCAGTGCTTCTGGCTACAGGTCAGGACATCCACACTTACAAAAAGGGTCTGAGTTGGATCTTGGACCCCTGTCAGTGTGGTCTCCCTCTTGATGTAATTGGCTGAGGAGAATCAAAGTGATGTTAGGAGTTAGGACTGCAACTTATCACAGTTATTAGCAGGCTTTGGGTTAGGTTAGGTTTGGTTTGGTTAAGTTACAAATTAAAATTAACGGCACTAGTAGAGCAGATGTCAAATGAAGGCGCTTATGCTTACCAAGTAGATAAATAGGCAAAGAGAGCAGGATGCTCATAGGAAGGGTTTCCAACCAAGGAGAGGCACAGCTGTAGGTTTGTAGGTTGTAGGGTTTTAGGTTGTATGCTGACTTGTAGGTTAGATTATGTCAGGTAAGGTTTGGTTTGGTGTTAAAAAGAAGCATCTCTGGAAGCAAGAAGCATAAGAGCACTTCTCCTCAGTTGTAAAACCTCTGTGTAACATCTGCTCTACTAATACCCAAATATCTTGGTCACCAGTGACAAATTCCAATCTCAAATGAGCTGGCCAGTTCACAATTTGTAGGATCATGTTTTGTCTGTCAGTCAACAAAAAATATTGTGGTTATGAGCAGTTCTTTGATGATTGTGGAGGGTTCAAATGTGGACATGTCGGAAATATAGTCTAAATATTGATCATCACTCCTTATATGGTCATCACTCAGCCCATTTGGGTGACGTCATATTCTTAAATTAGATAAATCTTATTTTAGATTACCTCCCTGCAGTTTGCCCGACTGATACCTATATGCTGACGGTGACCCCAGCTTTACCGTTACCCATATTTCCAGCTTAATTGACAATGACTGGTACAGAATTGTCAAACTCAATGATGCATTTTGCTAGCCCTTTCGCCAAGAATTGTAGTCTGTTTCATTGTCATACTCACGTCTCCCCATCAGCATGACATTGCTTGGCGTACTTCATACAGCCTCGGCAAATGAACCCTTTCAACCGCTTTGTTTTGCAAAAATGCCCAACACGTGCATCATCCATTTGGGCACAGACTTACTTCCTTAAATGGAAATCAAGGCTTCATACAAGCCAGGGGAGGCGAAGTTTGCCATCCTGTGTTGCCGATGATTCGGGCATGAGCACTGTCTTGGTCTTGGTCAGTGGTCTTCCTGGTGGCATTGTAGCCTATGAAAATATCTATAAAAAAACACCAAAGAATACTGACACCAGGTCAATTCAATACTCCACAAATCTCCGATGCTCCACGCTCCACAAAATATATCCACAACTCCAAGACCCACAGAAGTGAGAGAACCAAAATCAAATTTGAATTGAAATTGAAATGTGCCTAATAAACAAATATACACAACACAGAAAGGTCGAAAACCAGGGATGTTCTCTATCATCACATGGAACACCGTGGCAGCCAATTGAATGCAAAAACGTGCGTCTGCTAGCGTCAGAACTATATTAGCAGCATTTGCAGTACACGAAACCGTGAGCAGCTGTGGGTGTATAATCGTGGTCAGCAGTTTTTAACATCGAATTTCGTAATGTTCCCCCATTAGTCATGTTTTGAAACTTATAACATCAGATAGAAAATTAAATTATGTTACATATAGTACTCTCAATAGATGCCGACTCGGTCTTATTTTTTAGTAATATGCCACTAACTGTTACAGTGTGACCTCAAACAGCAAGGAGGCTGATACATTATAGACCAAAAATATATAACTTATAGCACCGAAACTGCAATAAAACATGCATACTTGGGAAGAAAATAAAATTTTCATTTTGATTAAGACCTATTGCGAATCCATCACCACCATGTTTACCGAGCATCTATGTTTTTTGTTCGGAGTTGATTGGTACCCATGTGGCACGGCTGAGAGCAGCCGTTCGCCACTTGAATCGCTAGCAGTGTATACCGCTAGTAGTTCACCTCTCGTTGTGAGAGGGAGTGAAAGGATTGTCAAGGCAGAGACTACCATCCGCCACCGTCGGCACCACACAACTCCAAGGGAGGAGGAGACTCCCGATGTGGGCCCGTGTCGGTAGCTCTGAGCTTGACTAGGATGAACGAGTTACCGATCGTGGATCGTACTGATTTATTGAACAAAAATTGGCACACTATATTTCTAGCAAGGCTACCTTGCATAGGTAGTTTCAGCGTCTAAATGGTAATATTACAAATTACAGTGACAGTTGGACAAAGAAAAATTACTCCACACCTGCGCTCCTAGATTACCCTCTTAAGGCGTGACAATACAACAGCTACGGTTACAAGAGATAACATATAAGGCAGAAAACAATCACAAGACATATGTGTCAATCAATCACTGACATCTGCGTGCATCAAAAGGATTTACTAGTTTGCGACGCCGCCGCTGGGTTGCACACGCTACGGCGCCGTCGCTAGCAACGGAGCGCTGTTGCACCCGCTACACCCAAAATGCCAATTTTCGGATTCGGAAGCAAAATTGACAATGTTCCCCCATTAGATGAGCTTTGATACTTTGACACCTTATAATGTCAGCATTTCTGCATATTTTGGTGAACGTTTCAGACGCCGACTCGGTCTTGTTTTTGAAAACCATTACATCCAGTGAAACAGTGTGACCAAGATCACCAAAGGTGGTTTTACATTCAACATCGATTTATTCTAGTTTTGAGCATGAACAAATGAAATAACACATAAAATCGGAAAGATAATTCAATTTTGATATTGTTCAATCATGATTTACAACCTATACAACTGATTTTATTCGAGAATTTGTGGTAAAACGTTGGCTGGTCAGGTGGGCCCGCCATTTGCTGACCTTGGTGGTTTCGAAATTGAATGAAACAGTATTGACATTTGATAATACTTTTTTACTATTAATTTTAATTTTTAAGGATAAAAATATGATTTCATCAATAACAAACTCCTACAACCAAAGATATATTATTTTCGAAATGGCGTGGTCGGTCAAAAAATTATCTTCGCATATACTTTACAGAGTTACGCTAGTCTTGCCCTGTGCACGTTTATTGCCAATTTATATATAAATAATAAAACACATAAAGATACGTGGCCTAGTTTCTTTTTTTTGGACTGAGAAGGCCAGCTGAAAATAGTGGTTAAAATACCTTAGTGTTGTGGCGGCAAACCGGTTTTACCTAGTTCTCTATATACCGTGCAATTCCAGTTGTGGCTTTGTGAAACAGCTTCATTTGCGCTCCGTAGTTTGAAAGGGTGTGAATTACGGAAAGGTGTAAGTTACGGCAGAGCTTTATGAAACGAGGCCCTGTTTGAGGAATTCTAATGATGAGATCCTGGATGGCTGTCTATGGCCCTTAGTGGGTACCGGTAGATGACCGAGCGTGTCGAATTAAATGCATACTTTTTGTTTGAAAAAGGTCAGCTGCTGGGTGTTGAGCTCACCAGGTTACGAAGGCTGGCCAAGTGAGGTCATATTGCCTATCAATTGATTCGGCAGGTCTTCTCAAGTTCACTGATGGTTTAGTGGCACGCTATAGCCCCTCAGCGGCACAGGGGGGGATGCAACCCCCTTAAGGGTTTTTTTGCAAATAATTCGCGTAAGAAGCGGCTGATTGCGACAAAACCTTCAGCACCTTCGCATTGATCAATTTTACACCTACCCTGAAAATTTAATGTCCCTGACCCAAATGACCTTTGACCTGTGACCTACTTTCCAAGACAATGTTTGGCCGGAATCGCGATTCGGCATGTCGGCTCGCATTAGCCGCGCGTTTGCAATGTTTTCGTGGTTTCAAACGCTCAAACATATGATTTGATGTTGCTCCCATGCATTAAAGAGGATGTCAAGGTCAACTGAAGGTCAGGTCAGACTCAGGTCATTGACCTTTGGTGATCTCGGTTCACTTTTTCGACTTTTACATGTTTCTAGGCTAGTTTTTTTAGCTGAATTCGAATTTAGAAACTATTTGCATAGGCGGCGGAACGATTTGAGACAAGGGGGGCACCAGCTCAAGGAGCCAAACCTAGGATACCCCCACTGAACTCTATAATGTACCCCCAAATCCTGTTTTCTCATCGGATTTAGGCCACTTATTTTTCGTCACAGCCCTGACACGATGATTTTTATTTTTATTTTTTACTAAACGAAAATGCCAGTTCACCCCCGTATGTGTGGTTAACTTTAAGCTGATCCTCAAGTACCTACAGGGTTAATTAACGCAGCAAATTATTTTATCGTACTACGTTATGCAATATGTCATCATCCACTACCCAGTGGAAACGGTTAGTCTCTAGTAAGCCAAATACTGCGCACAATGATCGCCGGCTTTGCAGCATCGTCGGTGCGGCGGTGCGTACGCGCTACTCGCTAGATGCGCTGGACTTCCGACAGGGAATTCCCTGGGACTCCCCAGTGGGAAATCCCCGGTGTCGGTCCGGCCGGAAGAAAGACTCAGTGGTATTATATAGCAGGCGTCTCACATCCGTGTAAACGGCCGGAGGTCTGGTGACGATATGAGTAAACTGAAAAAAAAATATGTACAGTCCACAGCAGAAGCAATGTGGGGTTTCAGTCATGGGTATGTTCTGCTTCTGAAGCTTAGGAACGATTAACCAGACTACAATGAAACTTTGAATGTAGCTTATATGTATCGTCACCCTTGCAGCTGCAACTTTAGCTATTGACATCTTCTTTTCGATCACTCCACATTAAACAATCGCCAGTCAAAGCCAACCGTTGAGATTGGTAAAACCCTACATTACTTTAGCGGTGGGCTGTACCTTATACAAATACAGCTGACCTGTAATTGCTACGGAATCCATTTCGTAGTTCCTACGTTATTCTATTATTTTCCGTACTACGCTACCGAAACATCCCAATTACGCTACGAAACGGTACTGACAGCTACGGGTTACCGAAAAATTCAAAATAACGTAACGTAGGCCAACTCTGGGCACCACCAGCGGCCTAGCAGGAGCACCAGTCATCACACGACTAACCAAAAATAAAGAAAAAAAAATGAAAATAGAGCACCACCAAAATTAAGTGGCCGAAATCCGTTGAGGTTTTAATTTTGGGTATAGGTAGGGGCACCACTTCGATTCATGACCCTCCCCTTGGAGTTTTCCCGAATCCGCCCCTGGTACTAATACATTTTAATTTAAGGGGGGCACCTTGCTATTGGTGCCCCCCTTGCAGAATTCAAGGGGGCACGGTACCCCGGTGCCCCCCCCCCCCCGTTCCGCCGCCTATGACTATTTGAACATTTACGAAGTAGTTCTGGTGCCTTTGTAACATGTTACGAAGCTGTCAGAGGCGGTTGACACGTACTACGAATACCTACCCGTCACGACCCCTACTGGTTGACCTGACCTGACCTAACCTGGTCTAAATGTTTCAAGACATCATCTGTGATCAAAACTAACACGATATTCGTGATCAGCACCCAGAAAAACCCCATAGCAGCCACACTTTACGACCTTCTATCAGGTCCCGAATTCCCCGACTTTGGGGTCATTGACCTGACCTGGAAGGTCAACCGATGACCTAGGACCTTAAAATTGGGTATCATCGGCTTCCTCTCGTCACGGGCAACACGCTCGTTTCTTCCGCGAAGATCTAGCTCGATCAGGGGCCAAACGGCAAGAGGGGGTCCAACCGACCCCCCCCCCCCCCCCCTCTACACATTGGAAGCTGGCAAACGGAAGCATTGGAAGCTGAGTGGGCAAAAGCACTTCACTGGGTGGGCAAAAATTGTCACTGGAACATGTTATCCGATTCCGAGACGCCGAATATGAAGATGAGAGGAAAATAAGTGAGGTCTCGACGGTCTCGACCACGCCGCATGGTAGCGCCACCTAGTTGGCCGATTATTTCTTGTGACGCCACCTGGAAATCCATCCTCCGCCCGGTAGCGACGCCCATGGATGGTGGACATGTTTAGACGGCGTTCAATGGACAATGGACAGCGGACAGTGGACAGCTGGGACCAAGAAGTGAAGTCACCCCCGCTATGGGCAACATCGGCTGGCCTGGGACGGCACCAAATCCATTGCTGTAAGCTAAGCTCGCATAGTGTCAAATATGCCAATCGCCACTTCTACCGGTATAGTAGGTTTAGGTATGTCTCGAAAGAACTATATAGAAGGTGGCAATAGAAGTCAACGACTGAAAGACGCCAACTGCTAAGGAAACAGCGGAATGTAAACGTCCTTTGCGTGCAGAACATTGGTGGATTTACATCGCATCCAAAAATACCCGCGACTTCATAGCGTCGCTTATGACACGTCTAGTGTCATAAGCTAGACAGTCCCGTTGTTGACTGTGCGTCTGCGTCTGCATACATCTACTCTAGCGTTTGAGCAGGACCACTGTGTGCGACATTTCCATAGTCTGCCTAGAGTTGCGTCTGACAGACAGAAAAGGGTGCCACTTCTTCACTGGAAGATGGCCATGAATGTCGTGGTTGGTGTGAACATCTCGCTCTGTTAGCTAGCGGTTCATCGTGATATCTACCTCATTTTGTGTTAGCTTTAAGTTACCCAGCCATGATAGCAGGCAGCAGCAAGAAGACAATGCTCGTCACTGATACGTTTATTTTTAACATGGCTATATTACAAACACCCGTGATTCATTCTCCAAGCGAAAACAGTTCATTCCCGGAATAGAAGCATTCGGAGACATCTCACGACCTGCTCTGGAAGTCGCCATCACAGTGACAACTAGCCATCTATAACTCGATCCACGCCAAATGACGGGAGAGTTGAACCGAGACATGCACCTACCGTATCGGAGCTCGAGCGACCGCAGGGGGTCGGTCGACCGCAGGAGACGTAGTCACTGGTCAGTGACCCAGGGTGACCATTGCACCAGACCAGGGAGGCATCCGTTCACCCAAAGTCGTTGCATTTGTTCAATATCATCGTTTCGATGGCCGCTGGTAGCATGCGGTTTGGGTGGGTTCAGCCTCCTTCAGCCCAAGCCTAATGTCTTTATGTCCCCTCCTCATTTCATTTTCGACTTTGAAAAAAGATGACAAGTCAAATGTTCGCACAACATAGTACCAAGAGTGGTAAAACAGCTCCACAAATAAGGGTGGAATCATGTCAGGCTCGCGTTTGAGAAAAAAAAACTAATTTGGACCATGATATGTCCATTGTCCAGCATCCCTAGCAAGTTAGAGCAGCGCGTCCTCTATCGGCGGACTGGGGGCGACATCTTTATTGAATTGAGCAGCCTGCCTTGGCGCCGTTCTTCCTCAGGCGCGACCTCGGCTTGTACTTCTCCAAAAACTGCAGCTGCTTCGCATTGATGGCTCCTCTGCGCTTCCTGAAGCAGGACAGAAATGGACCAGTTAGAACGATGGATTCAACCAGATCCAACAGCTACACCTGGCAGTTACAATATATAAAACTACACCCGCGAAATAGGGAGTCTAAGTCCATAAAATAACGACACACACGAGCTTTTGCCTCAGTCCGCCGTTCCTGAGTCACTTTATTCGCAAGAATTTGAACAAAAACAACATTTCAACACTAGACAGTGAATACTTTTGTATTCAAAGTATCTCATCCGACATCCACGATGAAAACTGAAAAGGGTATTTCAGCGCCCAGAGGCCAATGTCAAGATATAAAGAGCTAGATCCTCCAATAACAGGGCCAAAGAAACGGTATCTACGCTGGCCCAAGCACCAAAAACACCTTTCTTCACGGCCAACGACTTATTGCATAGATAGAAATTATCAACTGCGAAATGAATTGAAATTATCATAAAATAGGTATGCGTAGATAACACGTCGATAGCGCCCAGCTAATAATATTCACGACCTTCACCGATTTAATTACGACTGAGACAGGTTATATTCATTTGAGACCTTGTGCTATCGGCACTCTAAACTGACACAGTGCACCTCTCCTATCATCTTCCCAATAATTCCAATTCAAATTGCAGTCGGAAGTTTTAACGTCACGCGGCAGACAGCCGTCCCTTATCTCCGATAAAAAGCAGCTCCCACTTAACGAGCAGACACGATAAGCCGGTACTTTCAGCGGGCGACAGACCTTACATCGATCACACGCCTGATGATTAGCCCAGACACTGGTCACCCTTATTACAGAGACGGCGGGAACGATGGTTCCCGAACATCTTGGGGGGGGGGGGGCAAGAGAGGGGAGCGCACAGGCGCCAGACGCTCGATGACGCAATCCCAGCAGAGGGAGGGATTCCACCGGCCGGACCCACGCGGCGCACCACGTCACATGTCATGTGAGAGGGCGCCACTGTCGCCAGCTCCCCCGTCCGCTCCGCGTAGGAAACCGCTCCCGGGCCACCCACGTGGTGGACAATCTTCGAAGTTCGAGCCTACACATCCGTCCATACTAGCATAGGACTACTAAAATGCAGTGTGCACACAGAGGAAGTTGTGCAACGATTGGCATATAGGTACCACGTGGTTTTCACCACCAAAAGGTCACATGGTGTGTGACACCATTGCGTCACCCTACTCGGTATCTTTCTGTTTTTCTCCTCCCCTTCCCCTTTCCTCTATCACTTGGGGATTTCCCAGGTCAAAGCACATGCTCAGCGGAGCTTGCGTGGGGTTCATTTCCGCCTATACCCGGTTCTTCTTCAATGATATATTTTGACGCCATATGACCGTGACACCACATGTATGTGGTGATAAGCATGAAACATGTGACATTCCCCACCAAGTATGACCATTAATATTGCTGTATTTCCCTGAACCGGGAAACAATCCATACTCGGCAGTCAGCGCTAGTCGACAATATTCAGAGAAAATGACTGGCAGCGATAAATTAACCACCAGCATACGTTATTCAGTGCATTTATACCGCGGGCCGCAAGATTCTTGACAACTGGAAATGAAAGGATGACATGACGGATTTGTAAGACAGGAAAGTCAATTGGTCATCAATCTTCAGGTGTCAGATAAAACCCATGTCTCATAATCTAGGTACGAAGACTTGTGAAAATAGCAATAGCGGACTTTCTGAGAAGCAGTATTCGACTGAGTTCCCGTACCTTGCAAAACAAAAAGTTTTCTCAAGTTGAAGCAGGGGTGGCCTTTTTAGCCCTACGGATCAATCTATTTTGATCGCATTAAAGGGACTATCCCACCTTTAACATGGGGTTTGAGTTGAGATAGCCAAGTTTGCGGCAAGGTTCAGAAACCACTATCTATCTAGGTTGCAACCCCCGCGGCCTCTTGGTGTTGAAGAAATTCGTTCCCTTCATTTGAAAATGGGCCTTGTACAAGGCCCTATCTTCAACATGGAGCGACCGTTAGTGTGACGTCACCTCGTTTAGTCATTCTGATTTAAATGGGTTTGTTCGTTGAAAAATCGCTTAAAACTTGGTCTGAACTTTGTTGTGGTGCCTACAGAGTAAAAAGAATCAGCTTTATGACAGTAATGTGGCCTGGGGAAGGAGGTAATTTTGGGCTGTGACATATTTGAATATTTGTGACATATTTGAAAGTTTGTGTTTGGAATATGGGAAGCCTAAGATGTTTAATGAAAAATAAATGCCAGAACCGTGTTCCTGGTCATCCAATCTATAAAGTCGGACACAATTTAACTGGTTTTAACAACATTTTAGAAGGTGGGATAGTCCCTTTAACCCTTCTCTCGAGTTCTCGCCACGTCCGGCGCGCCCGCCCATGCCGCCCCGATGACGTCAGCACACCAATGACGTCACGCCACTCCTCGGAAATTCTCCTCGTCGGCGCCGTCGCCGCGGTCCGGGAATGCCGACCGGCCGTGACGTCAGAACCCCACGATAAGAGCTGACCGGGTGAATGGCGAGCGAGCCCCCTCCCCGTCCGCTCTAGTGGGTATGTGCGGTCTATATAGAGCATGACAGATTATCACAATTTTAACTGTTGGCTGTGCAGTGTACAGAAGTTATCGACTAGTGTCCATCGATGTCGGTCAACAAATTAGCTTACGTCCCACTGACTTCTGTCCGTAATTAAATTTTAGTAATGCCCACCGGTCACTAATGGCAACTGACCGTGACTCACGACTTCGGAATTAGACAAAACCGTACACGTCGAATGTCACTGACCTCTGGCTCTGACTCACGGTTAACGCTAGTCAATAACTGGTGCTGGTCGTCACTCGTCAGCGATCACTTACTGCGACTGGCGCCCCCCAATGACAGTAAACAACGGCTTATGTTACACTTACAACTCCATCATCCGTATAGCAACTGAATAATGGCAGCGTCCTCACAAACTGTATATGTAAACAACCTCGAGTTCAGTCTCTCTACAGGCCGATTGGCGCAGTGCAACTGCTTCCTGTTGCACTACTATTTACTAACTAATCTACAATCAGGCCAACTGGATTGGATAGGCCTTCCATGAGAGTCAACTCATTATCAATCGCATTCATAAACCGTCCATACGTCCTATCAGATCTCACCAAAGACAGCTTACAGAGCTGGGCTCAAAACCTTCGAAAAGTATCCAAGGCCCTCCTGGGGCATTCCACGATAGATCGTACCACTTTTTTCCAATTTGACACCCTCATCTCTCGGAATTTGACGAGAATTGGTCTAAGGGGTAATCAGGGGCTCTGAATCCACCTGTAACAATTTCAGGCTTATCAGATAAGTATTTTTTGAGTTATGGTGTATAACATTTTTTGGATCTTGCTTTGCAGCGCTAAGTTTGGCGGGCTGTAACTCTAAGACGGATTATTCAAATGCCAAATGTTATATAACATTGAACTTGCAATGAAACAGAGATTAATATGTATTTTTGAAATTTCGAAAAATAGGCTATTTTTGATAAATGACATATCGAGTTTTCTTTCATTTGTATTTTTTGGACTTTGGGACCAAATTATTTTGACTTTTTATTTCTTCAAAAAAATATTTGGCTCATTGTTAAGAAGTATGCAAAAAATTAGGAAGGTGTTCTTTCTATAAATGTATTTATTTTACGTCACGATAACGGTTTCGAATAGTGATTTCGGGAGGGGAGCTTACAAATGGCGTGGTAAAGCTGCCTAGTGACATCACGGGTTACTGAAACTTCAATTCAAGTCTGAGTCATCTGAAAAAAGTGAAAAGAGGGTTCATTCAACCCTCTTTCCTATAAGCGCGAGGGTGAAAAAGGCTGTTTGGTTCTGACATTGTTTTGGACGCCAATGACCATAGCTGTCCGAGATGAAAGTTACAGGACGCATACATGGTGTCCTCTAGAGGTCTCACAACTTGTATATCTGGGAATTTTTCAAGGTTACTTGAGGTCAGGTCGGTCACGTGACATCACTGTTAAAAATCAATGGGGAAATATAAAAACAGTTATTTTGGCGCCGAGAATGATCTAAAACTATCCCACGTACATGGTATCGTGATTTCATGCACTCCTTGCAAAGTGCAATGCTTTACTTTTGCATTGTTAACCTTGCGTGACGTCATTTATGACGTCACTAGGGTCGTACGAGTTTTTCGTCAATAACTCCCGATCAAATGGAGCTAGAGAGTCGGGAAAGCCACCAATGGACTCGGGAAGACCTTCCGAATCGAATGATATGCCATATGATACCCTTTGCCCAGCTTCGTGACTTGAGGGGCTCTGACCTGACCTTGACCCGAGGTCAACTACTTAAGTTGATCTCACCCTAGCAAAAAGTATACCATTCGATGCACCTGAGCTAGGCGAACACAATGATGCCAAAATCGCGGCTCTGCGGCCATTTTTTGCGAAGTTATTTACTAAAAACCGAAGCCGTAACTTAAGTCACGTGACCTGACCTCAGACGCCACCGGTTAACCTGAGACCTTAAAATCGGGTACCAATCGCTGCGAATTGTAACGGCACACACGCTCGTTTTTTTCCGCGAGGCTCTAGCTCTATTAGAAGCGAAACGGCGTGCTGGGGTCGTATCAACCCCTCCGAAACCCAGTTTGTTTGCGGGAAAATGAGGAACTTATAGAAAGAACACCTTTCTAATTTTTTGCATGTCGATTTGCAATGACATGAAGATTATTTTGAAAAAATAAAAATGTGAAAAATTTTGGTCCCAAAAGTCATTAGAGGTAAATGAAAAAAGATTAAGGTTTTTGCTCAACAATGAAATTTTTTCTTTGGAATTTTTAAATAGTAATATTAATTTTTGATTCATCGCAAGCTTAGTGTTGTTTACTTTTTGTTGGTTGCTTAACCCGTTCTTGAGTTATAGGCCATCAAACTCACCGTTACATACCGAATTTAAAAAATGTAATGCAATATAACTCAAAAAGTTTTGATCTGAGAAGTCTGATATTTTGTCAGGCGTCTTTGGGGCCTATGATTACCCCTAGGACCGATTTTCATTAAAATCTGAGTGATGAGGGTGACGGGCCTGGTACGATCTATCGTGGAATGCCCCTCCTATCACCCGTCTTTCATCCAGTACTCCCAACCGTCTCCCAAGATCCCATCTCGCTGGCCTGCAGCCCCCATCAAATTCCACAGCCACAACTTCCGCCGTATTACCTCACAAACTTCTACCCCATCCGCGAACAGTTCCTGAACCTCAGTCCTCCGGGCGCTCCCCATCCCCCTTCCCCTTTCTATTTCCCCCTCTACCCTCCCTTCCCTCTTCCCCAAGATACGTACTCTCGAATGAGCTCCACAGCGTCCTCATACTTGAGTCCGAGCTCCATGAGTGCCAGCGCCACCAGCACGGGCGCCCGTCCCAGGCCGGCCACGCAGTGTACCGCCACGCACGAGGTGGGGTCAGCCCGGGCCTGGCGTCGCACGATGTCGAGCCATTCGGTCACAACCTGGAGAGCAAGGGGAAATGGGGTAGAGTTAATATCGGAAGTCACAGCCTCCACAGTGCGTCGGGGAAACGGGGAGGTTTATGTCGGTAGAATTGCAACTTAGAGGTGGCAAAAGGTAAAAATTTTGGGAACCAGACTCGAACCAGACCCGACCGGGTATTTCTGGAACCAGTCGGAACCAGTCCAAGTTGGAATCGGAACCAGTTGGACCCGTTCCCCAAAAGTCAATTAATACAAACTATTCGTAGGTAGCATTAATTGCATCATGTAAAACAGCCCTTTTCCACCGGCAATACGCATGAGGTACAGTATGCAGAGAAACATACATGAGCAAATGTTTTCTCTCCATTCACTTCATATTTTGCAATCATTTGTAGTGTGCACTGCATGATGTATGGTAGGACCCGGTTGGACCCGTCAAAAAATTTCCAGGAACCGGTCTGGACCCATATGGGTCCAGACTGGTTCTTTGGACCAGGTCCTCGGGTCCACATTTTGCCACCTCTAATTGCAACCCGTAGAGATGGAAGATGGAAGGGGGAAATGGGGGCAGATAAAACCCATTTCCTGGGGGAGACACGTGCCCATTACATCATGGGCCGTGGCCGACTAGACCAGCAATATATTTCCGATTAGCATTTGGTTCACTGGAGTGGATATGGTGCTTAATCTAAATCACATGGGGAAGAGAGGGGTTAAGTAAGTATACCGGTACACAATCAGTGAAACGTAGGGGTGACAGGGGCAAAGCAAACTTCAAAGGCAAGTGGGAAGATGACAAGTGGGTGACTGCAGCGAGGTTCGGTGGCGATTGTGAGATCAGGCGATAGCCACTGGGAAGTCCAATAATTGGAGTGGTCAGCCGGCTGGGATGTGTGACAATGAATGGCGCAGTCGATATGTACAGCTGCAGGGAAGTCAGGCAATGAATAGGGTGATTGGAAAACGATTCATCAGGTCAGATTACGATATGTACAGCAGCAGAGAAGTCGGGCAATGAATAGGGTGATTGGAAAACGATTCATCAGGTCAGATTACTGGGGAGGTCAGACAGCACTCGACAGTTCTAATCTTTCAGCTGTTGTTTGCAAGGCCATATGTTGTTTGACTTAAGTCTGAGAGGAAGTTCAAAAACACCTGATGTTAGAGTACCAGATAGCACACGAATCTCACGTCCCACCGCTGAACGGGGATCTCAAGCTGAATGTGGGAAAACGTTTCAAGGCTCGAGCAGAACTAAATTCAGAACGCATAATTCAGCACGAATTTTATGTTTGACTGAGTTCGATAACTTCTAAAAAAAAACTATTGTCATCGCTCTGCAATTGCAAAAAGTTGCCCATGCAATAATTAACGCATTATGTTCCTATGCATAATGACAAGACAAAATCATTTAGCATGAGCAGGACCGTGTTTTCCTTTCATCACAGCTAATGAGCAATTCGTTGGCTAAACTAAAAGGGAAACGTGCTTAAAGTCACGACTTCCATATTGCCCTTGTCAAAAAGCACGTCGCTCTTGTCAAAACGCACGTCGCTCATACATCTTACACGTCGTCTACTGCGCCGGTAGTCGGTTGCCTAGACTAGATTGGCGGACTGGATTTGGACTTGACTAGACTGGCTGACTATACCCCACTTGCCTCCGCGGGCGGGAAGGAGCCGTCGTCGAACTCGAGATCGGTGACGGTGATGCCCTCCTTCTCCAGCAGGTCCGTCTTATAGCTGGGTTCGCAGACTCGCACCACCGCCTGCGCGTTGTGCCGCTTCAGCTCCTGTGGAGAAAGGGTCAGAGCGACCGGTCAGCAAGGGTCAAGAGGTCAGAGAGACCGGTCAGCAAGGGTCAAGAGGTCAGAGCGACCGGTCAGCAAGGGTCCAGAGGTCAGAGAGACCGGTCAGCGAGGGTCAAGAGGTCAGAGAGACCGGTCAGCAGGGGTCAAGAGGTCAGAGAGACCGGTCAGCAAGGGTCAAGAGGTCAGAGAGACCGGTCAGCAAGGGTCAAGAGGTCAGAGAGGCCGGTCAGCAAGGGTCAGAGAGTCAGAGGGGTCATAGAGGGGAAACAGATCAAAGAGCCAAGAGAGGTGACCAGGGTTCGTTCGGTCAGATCGAGTGGTCAGCATGGGTCGGCCGGTCAGGCAGGGGAAGGTCAGAGGGTCGGCGAGAGGGGTCAGTGAGAGGGGTCAGTGAGAGGGGTCAGCGTGGGGATCAGCGGGTCAGGGAGATGGATTACGGAAGAAAAAGAGTCAGCCAGGTATCGAACTACGTAAGGTCAAAATATGAAGCCAGAAGGATCATCAGAGCATAATGAAACAAATTCGGGATAACACGGCGTCAGAAAGAGTTGTATGATATTGTTAGATCAAATATTTAAGGTCTGGTAAGGAGCTTGTAAGATAGGATTATGTAGGCTGCTCGAAAGCGTTTAAAAGCTGGCAAGGTAAGTGCCAAAGGTAAATCAACAGCGTGCGCAAATA